AAACAACATGTACATACACACACACACATACATATGTATTTACAATTAGTTAAGGAAAATAGATTTGGAATTTGTATATAAAAGGAAAATATTTAATAAACAGATCAGAATCGTAAAGACTCTCAATAACACTCTTCTTCTTCTCTATTTTATTTTGTATGCTTTACTTCCCCCCACCAGCGGTAAGGGGTAAAGCATTTAACACTATTTTTTTTCTTTCTTTATTAAAGTTTTACTTCCCCCCACCAGCGGTAAGGGGTAAAACTTTTAATATTGAAAGTACTAACCTCTTATTTTATTAGACTCTACTCCCCCCACCAGTGGTAAGGGGTAGAGAATTTTAGAATAAGAGTATTTGTAGTTCAAGCATTGCTGAGAATTACTTGTTACCCCCCCACCCGAGGTAAGGAATGATTATTTATGGAATGTATACTAAACATGTTCAATTTATTTTACAATTGAACAGTAGTTATGGCAAACCTAGTCCAGATATCAACCTCGTCGTAGTACGTATCATATCAAAGACATAGAATTAGAAAAACTCTAGAGGTAGATGTCGCCCCGCCAGAAAAAGTTATTATTATTATTATTGTTAGGGCATATATAGCGCTGCGACCTAGCTAGATCTATTGTGCTAACATTTATCAAGTCACTCCAACCTTAGGCTGTTAATGAAGTTAAGAACTTTGGAGGGTGTCGTGTTCCAGATTCTGGATGGAGACGATATTCGCTCTCCAAGGTGTATAAGTTTAAGTCGAGTTATACGCGGGCAATCACATAGTATATGCTCCGGGTTTCATCCTCTAGCCCACAAAACCTGCAGTTCGTCTCCTCAGAGAGTCCCATCTTGTGCAGATGGTACCTCAGCCTGCAGTGTCCTGTTAGGTATCCGGTGAGAGTTCTTAAACCCTCTGCTAAGATTTAGCAGCCGTTCAGAGATTCCTCGAGAGGGAGTTATGAATCTTTTGGACTGCGTATTACCCTTTGTCAAGCGCCATTGTATTGTAACTTGCGAGTCCTCCCATCCCCTTAGGAGCTTTGCTGTGTATCCTTTGGATGGACCAAAGAAAGGCTGAGGGCCGATCAGGCTCCGTTGGGCACCGATTTTCGCTAGGGTGTCAGCCCTTTCGTTGCCATCGAGTCCCTCATGACCCGGAACCAACCATAGGGTTACTCTGTTACTGGCTACCAATCTGACAAGTACCTTTTTGCAACTGTCTACTACCCTTGAAACCGTTTTACAAAAGTCAAGTGCTTTTAACGCTGCCTGGCTCCGACATGATGTTTATTGTTGCCCCATTTGTCCTTGTACGAAGACATTCGTGGAAACAGACTTCAATTGCAAAAATTTTCACCTGGAATATGGTAGGGTATAAGCCCATCGGGACGCTGTTTTTGAAATCTAGGTCCATATACGCCGGTCCCAGTGTTCCCATCCTTAAGTTTCGAACCATCAGTGTACCAGACTTGAGTACCCTCGTTTTACAGGTATCCTTTTCAGGTATTATTACCTTGTATTGCTTTGTAAAGGTCAGCTTCGTTAGCATTGAGTCTGTTAGTTTTACAACGGGATTATTTAAGAATGGTTTAAGGAAATCCAAATGGCCCCTTAAGTCCCCCTTTTCAAGCTACTTAGGTTCGGTAGCCCCAGGGCGCTCCAGAAAGCCTCTTTCTCTATAAGTATGGCTAGAGGCGGTATGCCTGTGATGGCACCAAGCGCCTCTGTCGGGCACGAGCGCATCGCCCCGTTATGGCCACACCAACCAGGCGGTGGAGCTTACCCAGAGTGACTTTAGAGGTTGTCTGCTTGGCTTTTGGCCACCAGGCCAGTGCCGCATAGGTGACAATCGGTTTTATAACCGTATTGAATGACCAATACGTTAATTTCGGGGATATTCCCAAAGTCTTACCATGAAGCCTTTGACAAGCATAAAATGCTCTCGTGGCTTTATTGGTAACCGCTGTGAGATGCGAGTTCCAGTTGAGTTTCTTATCTAGTATTACGCCTAGATATTTTGCCTCTTGTGAAAACTCAATTTCTGTCCCATACAACTTCGGTTTGGTCAAGTGACCTTCCTTCTTTTGGTAAATGGGACGATGACGGACTTCATTGGGTTAATTGACAGGCCCTTTTCAGCACACCATCCTACGGTTACGTTTAGAGCAGACTGCAACCTGGAGCTTAAGGTCTCCTCATCCCAGCTTACCACGTAGATGATAAGGTCGTCAGCATATCCGAATGCATTAAAGCCATTCCCTTTAAGTCTTTCTAGAAGTTCGTCCACAACCATTGTCCACAATAGGGAGAGAGGACCCCCCCTTGAGGGTAGCCACGAGTGGCCGTTACCGTTTGCCTACTACCTTCTAGTTCGACTATTATGGTTCTGGACTTCAGCATACTTATGAACCAGTGGGTTATGAGTTTAGGAATGTCCTTCCTTGTCATACCCACGGATATTGCTTCGTACGATGTATTGTCAAAAGCACCCGATATGTCGAGAAATGCACAGAGGGCAATCTGTTTATACTCAATTGCCTTTTCAATAGCTTGGGTTAGGCCATGTATTGCAGTAGTGGTAGATTTCCCTGTTTGATAGGCATGTTGACTTTCATAAAGTGGTTTAACCTTGAGGTAGGTGTCCCTGGTATGAAAATGAATTAGTTTTTCTAAGGTTTTGATAAGAGAGAGCTGAGGCTTATAGGTCTATACGCCTTTGGGAGATGATCTTGTGTCTTCCCCGCTTTGGGTATGAATATGACCTTAACCTCCTTCCGTGATGTCGGTATGTAAGCAAGAAGTAGGCTTGCTCTCAGAAGTCTGAGTATGGTACCGAATAGGGACCCAAGGCCCTGATGGAGCAGGCATGGATAAATACCGCCAGGACCAGGGGATTTGTATGCACTAAACGTTGAAGTAGCCCACTGCCACCTTTCACTGTTGACGATTCTGCCCGCTAGGCCTCTTGTCCTTCTGTTCACACGCACTGTGTTGACGGTGTTCACGTTAGTACTTGGGCCTTGTGTGATGCAGCCCGGGAAGTGGGTATCCAATAGAAGCCTGCTTGTTTCCTCAGGTGTAACGGTATAGGTTCCGTCGGGTTTTTTCAAAGTGCATAACCTGTTCGAATGATCCAATTTAAGGGCCTTCTGTAGGCGCTGAGCAGCCGGCAGGGAAGATATTCCCCCGCAGTACTCACACCCAGTGTACGAAAATAAACTATATTGTACGTTACTATTTCGTTTCGTTTATTACTTTAACAGTTCGGTACAATACGAAACAAAACGGCTGAGTTCACCTTGGCGATAGTACACTACAGTAGTTTAGTAGTTACAGACAAAACAACAAACGAAATGAATCGTGCAGGGAAAATATTTCTATGTATGTACATATATGCAATAAACAAATACAAAACGAATGGCTGCAATGAATAAAAAAAATAAAAATGTTTTTTAATTGAATTGGATATGAAAATTTACAGAAAAAAATATTTTTCACGTAATTGAAACGTTTGCATACATATAAAACGTACCCTATGGTACAATTGTCACAAACGAAAAGCAAACGTTTCTCGTTGGGGAAAATGACAGTGAATCTTACAATTTGTTTCTGACTATTTACAAAACTGTACAAAACCACAAATGATATGATGATCGATGAGCAAATGGGAATTGTTTTGTACAGTTTATTTTCGTACCCTGCTCACACCATGTGTTCGTTTTGGATCTTCTGAGCTCACTGTTGTAAGCAGTTAGGTCCGATCTGTAGGCTGACCAGTCACCAGATCGCTTGGCTCTGTTGAACAGTTTCCTAGCCTTTTGACGAAGTTTGCTGAGGTTATTGTTCCACCAAGGGACGCCCTTTGAGATTTCTTATTCCTCTTTGGACAGCTCGCTTCAAAGGCTGATGATAAATTGTCCTGCAGCAAGGGCAGACGAAAGAGTTCCCAGTTTGTATTCCTGGGATACCTGTAAATCTGGTAAGTCTCGTTTAGGGTGCTTAAGTCAAACCTAATGTGCTGATGATCTGACATATATACCTCATTTGATACGTGCCAGTTTGAGATAAACGCAGACAACCTAGTTGAGCAAACTGTCAAGTCTAAGACTTCACCCCCGATAGCATTTATAAATGTCGGCTCATTACCCCGGTTAAGAATATACAGTTGGTTCTTAATAATATATTCAAGAAGTGACTCACCTCTGCTGTTGGTGTCTGAGCTGCCCCACACTTGCTGATGGGCGTTGGCATTACAGCCCGTAAAGTGGGAGCTACCTTTCATAGCCAATCCTCTGTCGCCGAGTCTTCACAGCCAACAGTCAACCATCGCGGGCGGAAAGTGCAGCAGCTGAATTTGGGCTTTGTGGAGCCCTTTCGCTGCTGTCTCACCGCATCCAGGATAGATGTCTGAACTGCTTGCAGTTGTTGCAGAGACCATAGCAACTTTTGGTAGTCGGTTGGCAGAAGTTCCACCCTATTACCCTTGCCAGCGACCGCCCGATTTGCTGTCCTTTGTGACATCGGCAAAGGTCACCTCCGTCTTTGGCAACATTGGTCCCGTGGGGGCTCTTTTATCAATCTCATAAATTGTTTATAATAACTTTTGCTAAAATTTCAAAGTCAAAAGTTATCAAAACAAATTCTATGTGACTGAGATATATTATTTTCTAATTTTTAGTCCATTTATAAAAGCGTGGTATATTAAAAAGTTTTTGTTATTTTTAACCAGGAGGAGGTTATCAGTTCGTCGGAATATTTTTTAATATTTTTTTTTTTTTTTGTATTTTGTTTTTATGTATGTTACCGCATAACTTTGGACCACGTCAACCGATTTCGATAATTTTGCATCGGAAAGGCAGTGTCTCAGAGGTGGTCCCATACTAATCTGGTTAAGATCCGATCAGTGGATCATGAGATATATATATATATATATTTTTTTTTATATGAGAGTTGAAGTCGGTTTTTTTTTGTTGTAAAAAATACTTGTATTTATTTTTAGTCTCAATTGTCTGTCAAAAATTACCGAAAAATTTAGATTTTTTGCTCCCTTAATTTCTTTGAGTAGTGTATTATCTGCCTACATTGGTAGGTAAAGCCAAGCCAAAATTTTTATTCTTTGCGACCACAACCAGAAAAATTTTCGTGGACCCCACTTACAACTCGTAAACTCTCATAGTTTTTTCACGCCAACGTAGACCCCCGTCGAGTTTCCCGTGCAGAAATTTTCAACTATTCAATTCGGATAACGGAATTCTGCGCAGAAATGCTGTTTATGGCGTAGTCGGAAGAGCATTGTAAGGTTTAAGAAAATAAGTTTTATAAAAAATTCACTTCAAAAAATTGTTGTGTTCATGCGCCATATGGAAGAAGATGCGCAACGCCCTCGGAAAAAAGAATCTCAAAAATCAACGGTAATTTTTAGCGACTTGAAACTGCACTTTATTATAATAAAACTTAATGGTCTACAAAACTGCTTTCTCACATTTTTTTTAAGAAATTGAATTAAAAAATTTAAAATTTCGACGAAAATTTCTTGCATTTTTCCCGAGTTTTGTATGAAAAAAATGATTATTGTTGGTTTTGCTGTTGAATGAACTAAATTTTTATAAAAAAATAAAAGTTGGGTATGGAAAATATTAATCAAAAAAATCGTCAAAACGTCGGGATATAGATACTTGTTTTTGACGGTCACTGTAAATCTACGGCTGAGTGGAAGATCGACCTATCTCGGCAGCCGGTTCGAAAACGCCTTATCTCAGAAGGTGTCTCAAGAAGCCCCTCCCTTCAAAGGAATTTGAAAAAAATAAAATATTAGAAAAACACAATGATGCGGCAGTGTTTAGAAATTCTTTTTTTCATCAGGCGCAGAGTTTGTTATTATGGCCTTTACGTTTTGAAGTCCACAACAAATAAATTTTTCAATATTATCTCGTGCATTGGAACTGAAATAGAAATATCTTTATTTTAGAAGCCTACGAAGAAACTTATATAATTTGTAATTTGTTTTATTTATTTCAGGAACGACAAGAATTCATTGGAACGTCTAAAACTGAAGTATCAGCAGACAAAATGAGCGAATTCTACAAGACTTTTTTAGACAAAAATAGAAAAACTCATTTGCAGTATAACTACATATGGTATAAGAAAAATTTTGAAATGCTTAAACTATCTTTTAGAGTTTATCTTGAACGACTTTTGAGAAAACGTAAATAATATTCATTCTGCTTTTTTATAGTAAAATATTTAATTTTGAATTGATTAAAATGGGTAAATCTACACTGACACATTGCAACTTCTCGGCTGCCATATTAAATATCTACACTACTTTTAACAAAAAATCAAACAAAAAAAAAGACTTTTTAATATAAAAATGAAAATGAAATGAAAAACATTGGGCGCATGCAATACAATTTATCATATAATAAATAATATATAATTCATTAACAATTCCTTTAATTGACAATAAGTCTGAGTTTGCTAACACAGGTGTTTTTAGCATGAGGACCTCGTAAACAGTACCAGCGCATACCAGTGGTTGCATTTATATGGGGAGAGCGGCCAAAAATACTTTTAATGGACATATCGGAATAAAATTTTTACCCTAAGGTCTGTTAAGAATAAAAACTGTAATATGTAAAAGTGGGCGGGGTTGGACACGCCCACATACAGTCATGTGAAATATAATAGGGAGACGACATTGTGACCAGTTTCGGCTATTTTTTTTGTTTGTTTAATGTTTATTTTTTTTATAAAAATACAACTCACTATCTAACAAAAACCACATAAGTCCAAATTTCAAACTTTGTAAAAAAGTAGAAAAATTCAACAAAATTAAAAAAAACACAAACCTTTTTAATAAGAACTTTTAGAAAAATCTAGGTGTGCAGTTTTATAGCCCATTAAATTCTAGATTAAGAAATTGCAAGTTTGAAGTGGCTAAAAATTTGCGTCGATTGTTGATAATTTTTTTTTGGCGGATGGTGTTACTATTTGCTTCCATAAAAAAAATTGTCAAACATACTTTGAATGGAAGAAAATGCGTGACACCGTCAGGAAAAAAATTATCAAAAATCAAAGCTATTTCTTTGCCACTTAAAACTTGCATTTTCGTGAGCTAGAATTCAGTGGGCTATAAAACTGCATACACAACTTTTTTCTAAAAGTTCTTATTTAAAAAGTTTGGTGTTGTTTTAAAATTTTGTTGAATGTTTCTATTTTTTTACAAAGTTTGATATTTGGTTTTTGTTAGATAGTGAGTTGTATTTTTATAAAAAAAAATAAACATTAAACAAACAAACAAAAAAATGGCCAAAACTGGTCACAATGTCGTGTCCCTCTTATTTTGCACATGACTGTATTATAATGATTTTTCAAAACTGCTGATTTTTGGCATTTGGATCTTTGCCAAAACAATGCAAATTTTTTACAAACGTAATTAATACATTTTTGCAACTCATACCGATCTGGCTCAAAACCCTCATATTCAATATCTTTCGCTATTGCACCCAGCAAATTTTGAACTTGTTGGGAATGCGTACCGAAATTTTCACGCCAAATCTCAAAAACATGCAATCGAGAAAATTCTCAGTGTTAACTTTTGCCTAGAAACATTTTGAATTAGATAAATCAAAAAATAAACATGAAAAAAAACTGTAGAAAATAAAGAGCTTGGATTAGGTTATGGAATACTACGCGAGCCTCTGCAGGTCAATGCATCTACACTGAACACTTTTATAATCTTAAAATATTAACAAACAATATGTAAATAAAAGTATTGAGGGCCGATAGGGGAAACATACTTAAAACATTGCCTAAATACTTGAAAGACGAACCAAGAAACACACAAAAGCCTACTTTTCTAAAACAACGATTTGCATAAAACACAACATGAATTATCTAAAAGTTTAATTGTAGAAATAAAGCCAATACTTTTATGCACAATATCCATTGCATACAATTTTAACTCACTCGGCTTTTCACAATATTTTAATTACGTTAAATCCAATTCAATTTTCAGCGTGCTGACGCTGTACAAATAAAATGAACAATTGATGACAGTTTTGTTGCTTTATTCAGAAACAACCGCTAGAATGAAAACAAAAAATATATGACAACATGAAGTTTGGACAAAAAACTGATTGCAAAGCCTATCTTGGTTCACAAATGTTTACATACATTTTTTAAATTTTGGCCTATGGCAGCAACCACTGTACAGCGGCAGGATTCCAATATTCGCTATCGCGAATTTTGATCCCCAAAAATCTCCAAAAGAATAGCAGGGGTGCCTGACAACATGCAACATCTAGTTACATGGCCCTCATGCTGCCAGATTTGGCTGATTGCACATTGCATCTGTTACTTTTCCATGTTTTATACTTTTAGATCCTACTTCTTTTCATTTACAGAATTTTTGGGATGAAAAAAAATTCAGCGATAGCTTAAAGGTGAGACCCACAATGGCCAGAGGCGTGCCATGTACGGCTAATCAGTTTCGCCTGAAATTCAGACGATTTACGAACAGTGTTGCCGCAGAGGAAATTATCACCGAAATTCCCTAAAATCGATCAAAAGTATCATGAAAAAAAATTTTTAGTATCAAAGTATCAATCTTCAATAAAACTTCTAATTCTTAAATTAAAATGGTAGTTTGAATTTTTAATTTAAATCGTTGACAGTTTTTATTAATATTTTTATGGTTTTTGTTTAAAATACAGAGTGAAAATAAAGCTTTTATACTCGGTAACAGTTGAATTCATTTGCATACTTAACTAAAATCACATATCAAATTGGTACACTGTAAGAACATAAAAGTAATTTTCACAATACTTACTGGATTACTCTGGATGAAATTCTTGAGGCAGTGTCACACGATTGGTACATTTGTACAGATTTGTACATTTTGGCAGCTACAGAGTAGTTTTGTTTGGAAATTCTTTTATTGAGCTGAACTCAAATTTCTAAAGAACGCCACTCTGTGACTGCCAAAATGTACAAATCTGTAAAAAATCAAAAAGGAAAAGGAACGACAATATAAGCCTGTTCCCGCACTCCAGGATATAGTGAGAAATTGTTCGAAAAATATATGTATGATAAATGTGTGAAAGGAAATGACTTCGGACTATTTCGGACTAAATCCTGGAGTACTTGGGCAGCAGTGTTGCCGCGCTGTCCCAAGAAAATGTATCACCGACCAAGCCAAAAATGTATCCAAATGTATCCATTTTTTGATTTATTTTTCTTCTTTTACGTATCCATCTCATAGTTTGTAAGAAAACCAAACATTTTTAAGAAAAAGACATAATTTAACCCATCCTAAGGACTTGGAATACGTGTATATATATTTTTATATTTCATAAAATCAAACATTTGTTATTTGAATTTATAAATAATATTTTTTATGCATAAGTATTTTGTAAAGTAAGTATAATAAATAGTAATTAATATGTTACATTTGTACCTGTACACTCTAAAAAGTGTGTGTAAAACTAGTACTGAAAAGTATCTATTTTTCAACAGGAATCTGATAAATATACATACCGAGGGCTTATATTCAATACCCTCTATCTGCAATTTTGATGAAAATGAGTTTTTGATGGTAACGTGTGCTCTGACTTATCCTTCACCCATGACAATAATGTCAAACTTAAAATTTAGATTTAATGGTATTATATTCTCATTTCATAAATTCCACTATCTGCAATAACATTTTATTACAAGAGCAAAATCCTCTACACAATTTTGCTGGAATATTGTTTTATATTAACATTTTTTGTAGCAGGCCAAATAAAGACTGGGTAAGTTCCATGTGCCTATGTACTTATATGTTACCGGTAAAATCCGATCTTAGGTCAAACTAGTTTTGCCCAGACTAAACTAGTTTTACCTACATGCGATATATCTGTCCAACCGAAACCAAATTGTATACAACAATTTTGTGGACTGTGTAGCTTGAGTTGGACTGATGAAATTTACAGAAATAGTTTGTCCTAAAGCCGGGTTTGGCCGGTAGCGTATATACATACATACGTATATATATTTTTATTTGCCGAAAAATTACAAACAACTGTTAACGTGTGCAATAATATTACCAAACAGATGGAAATGTCCGCTTGCACCTTATTGCGATTGATTACGCATCATCAAAAGAAGGTTCTGGAATTGACGGAATTACTGATAGCTAAATCTAAATTAAGTAACTGATCTTGCAGTAATTTAAGGTTACCTAAATAGATTCCGACAATGAGGAAATAAACCCCAAAATTCTCACCTCCCGTAGAAAGAAACGGGCGCACAAATCGTGTTCCAATAAAAGAAAAGCGAATTCAATGAAAAGGATGAAAGGACAAAAGTATTTCGGATTCTCTACCAAAGATGAAAATTTCAAACAAATTAGCCTTAAGTCAGCAAGGAAAATTGGGCTAAAATGCATGTCGGCCAAATGTTTGAAAAGCAAAGTCAGGCACTGTGGACTGTTTGATGAAGAGTGCAGATTAGATATTTTTGAGTCATTTTGGAATATGTCGTGGGAAGCTAAGCGAGTTTTCATAAAGAGCTACGTTTCTCAGATTAAAAAAAAAAAGATGTATTGTTGAAAACTCCAAAAGACTAAACAGCTTTATTTTTCGATTGCCTTACAACAATCAATCATTGCAAGTATGTAAAGCAATGTTTCTTTCTACTTTGTCTTTAAAAATTGATATGGTAAGAGGTTGGTTAAAAAATTGCAATAACGACAATTCGTCGCGTACCATCCGCAACAACAAAGTTGTTTGTCTGGATTCGAAAATGTTCCTTAAAGAATACTTAAACAAATTGGACAAAATGGAGAGCCATTATTGCCGTAACGACACGCATAAAACATATATCGCAGCAACATTTAGAACAAAAACCGATATTTTTAAAAACTATCTCGAAAAATGTTCGGAAAATCGTGTACAACCGGTGTCTATATTTACGTTTTCAAAAGTTTTCGCTGAAAAAACTTAGCTCTCTTTATGCCTCGCAAGGATCAGTGCGATAAATGTGTTGGATTTAAGGCTCACCAAATACGAATATAATGAGCATATTTCGAAAAAAGAACGAGCGCAGCTTGAAAAGCAACAAGACAAACTTTTAGGTCAAGATGGACTATGTCATGTCTTTACTATGGACGCTCAAGCAGTTAAACTTTGTCCTAATATAAATGCATCATCGATTTATTTTAAACAGCGTTTGCAAGTCCACAACTTTACTATATATAATATCGTGAACCACGAATGCACAAATTATTGGTGGAACGAAAGTAATGGAGACTTATCGGCTTCGTCTTTTATTACATGCATAATTCACCACTTAAAAACCTATTGTTTATCTGATACGTTGCCGATCATCATATATTCAGATGGTTGCGGTTATCAGAATCGGAACAGTTACTTATCAAATGCATTGTCTATTTTTGCTATAGAACATAATAAAGTTATAGAACAAAAGTATTTAGAAAAAGGCCATACTCAAATGGAGTGTGACAGTGCACACGCCAAAATTGAAAACAAATTAAAAAACCAATCTATATATCTACCAAACGACTACATTAATATAACCAAAGGGGCTCGAAGGACTATAAAAATCAATAATCGTATTATTAAAAAACCATTTCATGCTTTATATTTACAATACGACTTTTTTAAAAACTACAGTGATAGCGATCTTATCCGGTTTTCAAGCATAAGACCCGGACGAACCAGAAAGGACCCTACGGTTGCCGAGCTAAGGTCTCTTAAATATTTGCCGAGTGGAGA